CCAGAACTCCCCCTTTGTGTGACATTTTAACTTGTGTTAATGTTATTATCCACAGGGAGGGAATGCAAAAGGTCTGCAACAACAAACTCTGCTTCAGATGTTTTAAAGGCACTTTTCTACATAATTTCCCCCCAGTGAAATCTGCTAATTTACATTTATTCCATGTGTCGGCCTCGCTTTCATCCACAACATGACATGGTTAATCAATGTCATGGCCTGAAGAGATTTTTGTCTTTTTATTTTCTCCATCATGATTGCACGTATGCTACCAATCTCTAATTCCAAGCGCAGAGAGGTGCAACACTGCGCTGCTGTTGCTCAGTTAACAAGGTTATTGATTTGGAAACCACCCTCTAAGTATGGTCTCTCCTCAAAAAACACACTAATTGGTATTTATTCCTTACTTTCAATGTGGCGTAGTGAGTGATAATCCTTACAAGATCCAGCAGACTGCTATAAACTTGGCACATCAAACTGAGGGTGGAGAATATGTTATGAGATACTTTGATGAAAAATAATACTTCAAACAAACACAGCTCGCTCCTATTCCCTTCTCAAACAATAGACCACCTGTGAGGAAGAGGAAAATTACTTATGGTTTATTTGATAGAAACAGATACAGTATACATAGACAGACTGAAAGCATCATAGTGTTTATAGCGGATGCTAGCATGCAACTCTTGTCCCTAGAACAGCTTTAATGAAAATAAAAGATTAAAACAGCGAGGTAAACATGTAAACTGAACACAGCAAAATACATTAAAGCACATTTACTTAAAGAAAGCTAAGTTTAAAAACTAGACATGAGTACAGGAATTGGCAGATCTCTTAAAAGTTTGCTGCAAATTTCAAGTTCCAGGACTTGCTCCTTTCACAGAAAAAGCTATCTGAGCAAAAGAGGTTTGCAGAATGGAAATTGACAATTGCCACTTTACTCAAATATCTTTTAAAATTTAACTGAGAATCTAAAATGATCCCTTAGTATTTCTGTTACTTGATCAAAGATTCTGTTGCAGGTAGCTTTTTAATGGTAAAAAAAAAAAAAAGAGATATATTTTGTTTTCTTAGTGGTCAAACAGGAGGGATCAAGCCAATCTGATTTTGGTTAGCTTCACAGTTTTTGCTAGATACATGAATGTCGTAGCATAAATCTGAACATCTGTACTAGGGCATATTTCTGAAAGGTCACTAAATATACAATCTGAAAAGGATGGGACCCTAGACAATTCAATCAAGTTTCAATTTTGTAAAAAAATAAAAATAAATAAAACTTGACGTTATTAATCAAATAATCACGTTAGGAAACACTGTTCACAAACCTTTAAATATGAGTCAAACCAAGACAGTGACTATTTTGACAAACTGAACAGTTTTGAAATTAAGATTTTGTAATTTACGGTATACTGGCCAGTGCCCCAGAGACTCAGTTGCCCTGTACCACAGAAGTACCACCAGTCCTGTCCGGTTTCCAGGCGGACTCCTGCTCCTTGCTTCTAGTTGGTAGTCCTGCCAGCACCTACTCCCTGCTCCTCATTGTTGGCCCAGCAGACACTTGCTCCTGGTTCCCTGTCACTGGTATCCTGCTCAGATTTCCAGCTGCTGGTCTCTGGTTACTGCACTGTTACTGCTCTGCTACTGCACTGTAGCCACCAGACTCTGGTCCTGATTTCCATGTCCAGCCTTCAGAGGGGTCCTGCCTTTGCTGCCTGCCTCCAGCTCGACCTCCAGAGGGGTTCTGCCTTACTCGCCGGCCTCATAAAGAGAACCACCTTTGCCGCCACTCCACTTTTCTTCTGACCCAAGGTTGTCCACCTGAGGACTCCTGCTCCGCCCCAGTCCAGCCCTCTGGCCATCTGCCTAAGATCACCAGCTCCATTGTTTAAGCTCCCGGGACACTTACCCTTTTGTTTATCGCCTGCTCTGTTTTGGGTTTGTTTGCCTTTGGACTGTCTGCTTGGTTTGGACCTTTGCCCGCCTCACCTTGCTGTAAGCCAGTGGACTCTTATTTCATTATTAAAACCATTGAACTGAACCTGCTCTACCTCGGTGTCTGTGTCTACTCCCTTCAGTTCCTCTTTCCTCGTTTGACAAACTGTGACAGAAGGTCTTTAGGGCATAATCTCTTTGCTTCATTAACTGATGTCCGGTGTCACTTAGCCACTGTATTTTTCTCTGTGGCTTTTAGCATTGTTTAATAAACTTGTCCACAATATGTCAAATGCTGGACATTACAGCGTTAATTAATGTTGTAGAATCTCCTCCCAGCTAACTCATTTATTCATTTTCAAATTCAGGAATACTTGATACTAGACATTTCTTTGCAAGTTTTCTTACAATTAGTATCATATCACCACAAAATTATCTTTCTGTTGTTTCTGTTTTGCAAATACTAAATCTATTTGTGTTTGAGTATTCCTGGTTAGGCGAGTGAGCCCGTCAATCACATGATGGAAATCAAATTTTGGTGTAAAATCAATGTGTTTTTTTTGTTCCTCTACAGTGTTTCCTCTACAACCATTTACATTACAATCACCAAGGACAAGCGCCTCACAATTGCGTTTGAAGCTTTTAAAACAATTCTTCTAGATTCTCACAGAACATTACAGCAAAACCCCGGAGGGGGGAGGGGATATACACTAACAGAATACTGAATTCCATGCATGGGGACAAGAGAAATGGGATGGCAAGTCTGGAGAGTGGAGTGAAAGAACATGGCATGAGAGACAGGTCAGAAAGAAAGAGTTATGCAGAGGGCTGAGGATGAGGACTGAGGACCAAACTCTGACACGAGTCTGTGAGCAGCACTCCCCCCCCAGCACTCCCCCCCCCTCTCTACCTACAGCTCTATCATTTTTAAAACACTTATATCCAGGGACGTCAATCATACTTAATCCTGCAATTATGTTTCACTAAGACACAAAAAATTCAAGACTGGAGCCGGGCAGCAGAGTTCTGATCTCATCACATCTGGACTTCAAATATTTAAGTGATCCCAGAAATTACATCTCTGCAGTGAGGAAATGACAGAAGAGCGCCCATGTTTCCTGTTTCTCTGCTGAATGTGAGCTAGCCCAAAAAGTATGTCCCACATGCACAGGGAAACAATCATTTGTCTGCACACTTCTAACAAGACATCATGAATCTCAGCCCTCTAGCCACTTCACAGGGCAACACCCCAATAGAGTTGCATCCTCCCTGGCACCCTCCCTCCTCCACCTCACATTAATCTATGTGTTTGCACCCTAGGTCATCCATTATTCATCCTAGTTTCTAGTTTCCCCTATTTATTGAAAAACCATGCTAGCAGGCCTCTGCAGTCAACATCAAGTTCACGGCATCTCGTTCAAGGTTTCATCCGGTGAGAGACCACCAAAGATGGGTGTGTAATTGAGGATGGTGAATGAACCTTCAGGTGATAAATACATAGCTACCCTGCTTCTTCCAGATGGCACCAGGGGACATGCATTAACATCTTTGCACCTTGCTGTTACTGCCACTGGTCTACTGGAGCATCCTTTGCTGTAGTGAGCGCCTGTCGAGATCCGTTCACCCCTTGCCCCCCCCGTGATGTCACTACCACCCACTCTGCCCATACAGATTTATGCTTGTGCACATATGAAGGAGGTATTGACATTTAAATCAAGCAGAAGGATTAGCGAGAGCAGACAGCTGCTACTTAAGATAGACAGTTACATGCATAAAAAGTAGACATGTACAGACCTCCAGTATATACACGTCTGACAAATATTGGCGGCTCTAGTATCACTGCTGTGTGTCATGCTTCACATTGACAAATTTTCTTTAATACCTGTGATGCACATATGTATGAGGGGATAAATGACACTGCCTGATGGGAGGTTTAATAATGAGATGTAGCATTCATATGTAGTACATGACCTAATTTACAAGCTTTATGGCTGCTAGAAAGCAGAATAGCATTTGTCATGGGAGTGTCCATATTGCAACTGATCATTGGCGCTTTATATGTTCTGAAGAAATTGCTTTCCGTCCAGCTATCCAGACAGCTTATGCATATTTCATATAGTGTTGGCAGAAGTGGCTGGATAACCCTATAAATTGCCACTCACACATAGTTAAAAAGCAAAATCTACCCATAAAATGTCTTGGTGACAAAGTAACATTTTTGTTGGAAGGCCAACTATCTGGACAACCAGAGAACAGGTCTAAATAGTAACCTTGTCGCCTATAAATTACACTCATATACTAATAATTTGCCAGTACTTGTTTTGAAATATATACACTAAGCAGGAACATTTTACAAACACTTTACACTGCCTGGCACAATGGTAGTCACAATTATCTCTTTGTGACAACCGTACCACACACACACACACAAACCGCACGCACGCACTGCTTTTTGACTAGAAAATAAATTACCAGTGAATTATTCAGCATAACAAATTAGTTATTCTATGGATCTAATTTCTAGGAGACGGGGATAGTGACATCCACAAATAGTGACATCCACATCCTGGTTTTAAAAAAACCAGTCCAAAGTCACATCCTGGACATTAGCATGCAAACATCACACAGGAATAATTAATCTTTGTCTTTAGGTTACCACTGTTCTAATAATGCCCAAAAGGAAGCCAGTCTTCCTAATAAAGTCAAAATGTATTTTGTGGCTGCCCAGAATCCTTTGTTGACTCAGAGGGCAAATCCAGCAGTCTCATTTGTTGATGTTATTGTGTGGCTTGGGAGAAAGCACAGGTGTGACAAAGAAGCTGATCCTAACATCAGGGGAGAGGAAAAACAGCACATCTGTTGTGGGTCACAGTGTTGTCAAGCAGACAGACCATATGGGCTGCTTCCACTCAGCACCAGCCATCTCTCAGCACCACTAATCTGACAGGAGTGACACCTCCGGAGAGGCTGTGAGCTATGTTTTAATGAACATTGTACGTTATTAAACTCATTATGTCTAGACTTTCCTTGCCACCAAGTCTACTACAGCCTGCTCCTCTATTGTTCTCTTACTCGCCCTGAATGCATATGAGTGAGCATGCGTGCATCTGTGTGCCTCTAACCTTAAGATAACAACACGCACAACATGTTCTGTTCTCAGTCTGTGTTACATTGGCTTCTTGCAAATGTTGGGGCATAGCCTAGCCTGGTTTTCTAGCACCTTTAGGCACCAAATGCAAATGTTGGCATTTGCCAAACAAGGTGCTAGATAGAAACAATGATAAGCAGATTAGTATTCATAAGTAGTTGCACAAATCCTTATTTTATAACCTTTGCACATGCCATGTCAACCCTGACTGCTTCATTAGTGCATATATCATTTGATTGGTGTCATTAGACCCTTGATATGCAGCTATACATTAGAGAATCTAAGGGAGAAACAATTACCCATGTGGATTGGTCGGTTTTAGCTTCATTTCCTGGCATGTATAGATTTTTAAGTGGAACCGTGTTGCAATTATCTTTGCAAATTAAAAGACATTAGCAGGCGTCTTGGTAGTTGTGCAGGGGCATATAACTTCATTAGTCCAAAAGAGGGAATCAGCACTACCAAAGATGTAATTTATGCTGATGGATATTTCAGGAGTCATTTCAGTTGGACCCACCTCTTGTTGGACATGTGCTGCCTCACATATCAGGAAACAGACAGCCCTCTGTCTATGAGAGAGAGATATGACATGATACAAGACAGGAAAACAAACAGGGGAAATGAGGAGTAAAGAAGGAATTCATGGTACAGCTGGATAGGTTTTTTTCAGTCATCTATGTTGATTTACTTAGTTCCATAAAGTCTAGGCATTCTGGCCGCATAATTAAGCTCTTACCCTGATTGTTTACATAAATCTGGATATGGCTCATGATATTTCACACTGGGTGAACATTAACCCCCAGCCACAGCAACTGCAGTTCAAACTACACTGAAATAAAATCACTGAGGTTTCTATCACTTTCTATTTTTGCTGTTACGTATTAATTAATGCATTGATTTGAAAGATAACACTAGTTTCATCATATTTCACACATCAAACAGGGCTGTGTTTTGGGTAGCTGGAAGGAAAATCCCTTAGGATTTTTGTTCTACCGTCTAGATTTTTTTTTGTTGTTTTATTTTTGGTATAACACTCTTAAAGAAATTTAATTTTTCTGACTCCTTTTCAAATTAGAAAACTAGAATGATATGGTCTATAAAAAGCTATAAATTTTGAGTCAAATGTCTAAATGAGCTTTAATGATGGGGGCCATGATCAAGTTCTGCTTTGTTCTTACCTTTTACCCCTTTGTCTGTACACCGGAGTAAGAACTAGCAGCTCCTGGCGTTTCAAGCAGCTCCTATGTGCTGTTGGGACTGTGAGCTCTGATCGCTTCCTCTCAGACCTGCAGTTGGGTAATCAAAAAGAATCCTTGAAATTCCTCAACCGATCACACAAAAGCTCCTGTTACACAGCTCTAAGGCATAGAAATACAGATCTCTGATTTTGCTGTCCTTTTGTTTCCTTGTTAGCCATGAGAGTGTCGAAAAAAATTCAACGTGTGTATCAGAACAAAATCTCTTATATACACACAACATTATTTAAAAAAAAAAAAAAAACACAAGAGGGAAATCTGCTGGGACCATTTGTCATTTACATTACTATGTAGAGACTACTCCAATGCAAAAACCTTTTTGGCAGCATATAATAGCATACCTACTCTACAGTATCTCTACGTCTTGAATTGTGTGATATATTCATAATCTGATTGATTTCTTCTATCTCAGAGTGGAAAGTATTAAGCTGGCCGCAACCTTCAGCTTTATAACCAGGAATGTACTTGTAAGTTCAAGGCAGACACATTTAACGTAGTGAGTTGAGTTCTTCAGGTTTCAAGATACGCATTTGTTAGTTGTGCTTTTGTTGATGTAGAAAGCCTGTGTGAGCTTTCTTGACTGCCCATTAGATATAGCTGATGCAAGTCAAAAACAATTGCAGTGTCTTTGTTGTAGCGTAAGGAATTCTAGGACCTAAGCAAAACACGGACAGGGAGAGGAAGTAAAAAGTTGCTGTCCAATTTCTTGACAACAGCTAAGAACGTGCAAAATACAGAGTCTTGCTTCTAGTTCTTCTGCGAGGTTGGAAAACGGCGAGAGCTGTGCAAGAAGCTGAGCACACTGGAAAAGGAACCAAGGCAGGGAGGCACAGTTCTCCAAGGGTGGCGAGAATCTGGAGCATAGACAAAAAAAATTACGAACCAAAAATGTCTCAGAGAAGCAAAAATCACTCACTAGTTTGGTAGGAGCCACAATGCAATACCACGATTGATAACAATCTGGTAAAGGCTGGAGTTAAGGACTGCGCTTTAAATGCAGGGAGCTTGATTATGGGAATGAGCCTCAGGTGTACAGGTGATCACAGGTGCAGAGAAGATTGGTCAGAGGAGAGCTGGAGCGCCATGCCCAGACACACACATATGCACAGACACAGAGAAGACAGAAAGGGAAAACAAAACAGAAACACCAAGGAGGGGAGAAACACAGCAGAAACACTAAGGAAAGGAGAGCGTACCACTGACTGTAACAGTTGCTGAGTGCTGGGCATAATAATATTACAAGGCACAAGGTAAATTTAATCATAATATTATAACAGGGTTGTGTGAAGTTTGTAGTTCCCTTCTGCTGCAAAGCAATCAGTATTACAAACAGTGGTAACAATCACAAAATGTTAAATAAACTATATTTTATGTAGCAGTGCAGTAAAATTTGACAAGAACTTGGCACAGGAATTTAGCCTTCTTAAGTTTTCTTAAGAAATACAGCTATTTCTGAGCTTTCTTCACCAGCATGGAGATGTGAGATGACCATGTCAGGTTCTCTGTGATGCTGATTCCCAGGAACCTTAAAATGTTCACCTACTCCACCTCAGCTCCACTGACGTAGACAGGAGTGTGTGTCTTTGTCTGTTTTCAACAATCAGCTCCTTGGTTTTGCTGACATTGAGCAGTAGGTTGTTCTCTGCGCACAGATTATTGATTTCCTCCCAATATGAAGTCTCATTTGAAATCTGACCGATGATGGAAATGTCGTCTGCAAACTTCACAACAGAGTTCTCTCGATATCGAGGGATGCAGTCATGGGTGTACAGCGTACACAGCGTTTTGATAAACAGCCAAGATGAAGGTGCTTTCAACCTGAACATTATCGATTTTTGAGGCTGTAAATGTGCTTTATAACCATGTAACAGCACATAAGCTCTCTAATTACCTTAAAGTATTGTGTCATTTAGATCTACTTCCACCCCTTTTAAGGTCATGGCTTCCACTACTATTTTCTTGCATTTACTTCAATCACAATCACAGTGTAGGCTGGACAAGCCCCCAATTTATTATGCCCGGCTCGCAGGATACAACAAAAAAGTAAGATCTTACAATAATCCAGTGAAATGTTTTAAGACAAATAACAGCATGTGTGCAATTATTAATGTGTGTTGCATGTTGTCAGTGTATAAAGAAAACAAGAATGGCAGCATGATAGAGTAGTGTGGAAGGCTGAGGAACAAGTCCTTAAATGACCTATCCCAGTTCAGTGCCATCAGTTATGTCCTGCAGTTGGAGAGGTCAACATTGTTAGCTGTTGCTTCAACTTGTGATTTATTCCACACGGTACCTCCTTACCATACTCCATATGATACAATACGTGTGTTGGCTTGGGGGGTAACAGACAGAGTGCTGAGGATTGAACCCCATGACAGAGAGAGAGAGTAAATGCTAGACTCCCCACCCCTATGAATAATGTGGGACAAACACAACACACACATCAGCAGGTGATGAAAAACATCAATAGAAAGTAACATGTAGTGCTCCGTGGACAAAATACACAAAACAAGAGCAAACAACTAGTGCAAAGTAGTGCACAGAATGAAGCAGCTAATAAAGCAGCACAAAGCAGGATGCCACAGACACTATTGGAATGTAATCAAGTGGGAACCTCCTGGTCTGAATTTTGAAGCCATGCGGAAGAGACTTAAACCTGCATTCTGTCTAATGGCCAGCAGGGGGAAGCTCCTCTGGTTGCAAAAAGAAGTCCAGTTCCATTAGAAATAATGGTAAAATGACGTTACTTCTCACCTGATTAAATCCCTCAGTAAACACTTTCCTAATGAGTTTATGGTCTTAATCATTAGTTTCTTGTCTTCTTCAGTACAGCATGATATTCATTTAGGAAATTATGGTCCCATTTAGGTAAAAAATACACGATAAAGCAGCATTTGCTTTAGGGCGGTACTACCCTGTTGTGCAAGTGAATGTGTCCACGGCACTGTGTAAATTTAACCAGTGCTGTTTAACAAGCTTATTAGGAGTCGGCTGTTCATTTTCCCGACAAGTATGTTTTGTTTGTTTTTAGCTGTTTTTAGATAGCCAAAATTAGCATCCCGGACAAAATCACAGTTAATGTGAATTACAGCTGCAGCTAGCTAACCAAGCTTGCTACCACTGCCGTCTCATCCAAATATGGGTATGTCCGGTATGACTGGTTGCAAAAAATCAACATGGCGGCAGCCTATCGGCCGAACTTCTGGCTTCGATGTGGCAGTCCATACCATCCGTGCACAACATCCACCTCCCTGAGACTGTTGTGCAGTACAAGAACATTGCACATCTTAGACTGGAAAAAAAAGTTGCACAATCAATTAACTCCAAAACATAGTTGGCAAAACCATTTAGAACATTTTGTTATGACCAGTTCAACAACAAAAAAAAAAGTTTGTTTTATTTAAATCTCTAAATCTATTTCTATGGGCCTGAAGATAAAAAAAATCTAGTAATTAAAAAAAAGAAAAAATGAAAGTCCACACAATTTTGAATGGCAAAATTGTGCTTTCTCTGCTGCGTAATCTGTTTCTTGTGACCCCATGTGGTCGTCCTGACCGTCAGGTTGGGAACCACTGCTCTCAGTTATGAGGCAGCCTGCACTTTTTCATTTATTTTGCTTATCCCAGCATGCCCTGAACAAATGGCACTTTTTGAATATTTCACCAAGACGTAGATAAATACAATACTGCCACCAGGTTCTAACCATTGTAATGATATTTGGTTGATGGTATCGGCTCTTCTGCTATACTAATACATTCTGGTGTTATTGGCATCACAATAAGACAGGCTAGAATTTTGTTCCTGGGGAAAAAAAGAAAGCTAGAGCAATAAAAAGACAGAGACAGACTGTAGAAGGTGAAGGGACTGTTTTCTTTAGATGGACAAAGGAGGAGAGGATGTGTGCGGCAGTAAGAGAGCAAAATGCTTCATAGCCTCAGGGCTGTGCACTGCTGAAAGAGACAGCCTAATGGAGGGTCCCTGTGAGGAGTGTTGACAGTATATTTGCTTCAACCCAGTCAGCAGCTCTCCATACAACTACTGAAAACAGGTGCACTGTAAAATCAGAACAAGAGAGGATGTTGTACTTGCAAATGTACACCTCCTAATTAAAGGTAAATATACATCTTTAATGAGACTGAGTGGTCTCATTTTCACCTCCTGTAGAAGTGCATAATGTCCTTACTGCATTAATTATTGGCAGCAAAACAGCAGGAGAGAAACAGTGAGACAATGGCAGTGTAAGTAAATTTCTCCAGTATTAGAAAGCTAGCATTTGGTTCCTACTTTTACGTACTTAGTGGTAGTGAGGTTTCATAAACAGCAATAGTTTATGTTTATTCCCCAGTGCAGAGCTCTGAGAATGTATCTGATCTTTGACATAAGCCATTTTTGTTTGAAGTATTTAGAATGTGGGTCACATAGTGGAGCAGTAACCTTGGAATTTGGGGAGAAAAGAAAGGCCTCTTTGATGCTGAAATTCACAACATGACCACTGCATGGGGGAGGATTCATCTGTTAGACATTTACATCCATAATGCATGAAAATGAAAATAATGTCAATTTAAAAATAGATTTCCTGTAAGATGTTATTTGAGATGGCAAAATTAATATCCCTCTCCGTAAATACACATCAGAGATATGCTTGGTGAAATCTTCATAAGTGTATAAAAGTTGAGCGGCCACATTCTGCCTGACAGGTACACAGCCACAGCTAACCGATGAGAAATAATGCAACGTTTTTGGAACCCAAAAGCATTTTGTCCTCCCAAGGCAGACCTGCCTCGGGAGTAAGTGTGCACTGCAAGATAGTGACTGCAGTTCCTTAAAGGCCACTGTAGCAATATTTTTAAGAAGAGCTTTCTATTTTAAGCAAACCACCACTGAGCTAGGCTGCATGCTAGTCAGTGCTGGATGTTATATATAATATATACAAGAATATGAGAATACTCCTACTCTGAGCTCTGTCACTACACTTTAACTATTTTCCTCCCCACTTTGCTGCTTAAAAGAAAATATTTCGCAGCATCAACACAGACCAGGGGCCTCAGATTGACAGAACACATGTGTGGTTTGTCGTGATGACGGTGTTGCAGTGTGACAGAGCGCCTGTCAGCCAGGGGTGCGTTTCCCAAAAGCATCGTTGCTAACTACGGCAGCAACTTCCTTGGTTGGAACTATGCAGTTGCGATGCATCTGTTTCCCAAAACCCTAGTTCAAACTATGGAGCTAACTAAGTTGGTAACTTACATGGTATGAACCATCGTTAAACAACGTAGGTGTTCCCTGAAACCATAGTTCCGACAAACGTTTGCATCAACTGTCGTTAAGTTGCATAGTTCGAACCACAGCTCCTGACCTGTGGTTAGAAGCTTACGTCTACTACATCACAGATAGCAGTAAATGCAATGTTAGGAGGTGGATTTAATGTGTTTTAAGCAGGGAATGTTAGATAATCCTGATGTACAAACATATTTAAGGTGAAGTTTTTTATAATGTAGTTGTAAAAGTTCTTTTAAATCTATTTGTCGGGTCATGGGTAGGATGGGTAGGGTTGCATTGATTCAGTACTATGTAAGTTAGTGTAGACCATCTACAAACAGCAAGTGATTTTCTCACAGATTACCCATCTGTTCACAATAACCTGATTTAATATTATTCACCCAATACAAAGCTTAAAGGACAAAACGGAGAATGTAAAGACAAAACTTAGAATATTACCTTCTTGTATACATTTCTAAGCCTATGAGGAAGATGGGTGTTCTCTAGTCTTCACTACAAACATAAATATAAAAAAGGACAGCATAAAATTCATGTAAGTACTGTAATTTATAAATCAATAAGTGACAAACTAAGTTAGTTCAAACCACGGTGCTACCAACGAGGTACAACCGTTTTGGGAAATGGTTGTACTTCAGATGTTGGTTAGTTTAACGATGCATCGTAACAAGGTAGTTCAATGCTACATTCCGTGGTTGTACGGGAAACGCACCCCAGAA